CAATATTTTCCCATCTTACCTCATAAATGGACTGGATTTTGGGGCTATGGACCATATTATGGCGTCACTTGACCTTGTCTTACATGATATTTATTGTTTTAGTGTGAATGATGGAGAGTCCACTGTGAAACTATTCTTTCATATTTATTTATATAAACATTATGTAGTAATTTAAACTGTTCTTCCTTTTCTACTTTTCAATATATTTATTCAAGCTTTCAATATATTTTCACAGCGTTGTCTCCTCTGAATAGGATAGAACACCAAAGCTTTCTCCTTCCAGAGCAACGTCCAGCAGACAACAAGTGCAGATAAAAGTTTTCAGTGGTCTTAAACAAACTTGTTTCTCTTTCCTGTGCCAATTTCAATACGATCCGCCCTCTTTTTTCTTTTCTTTTCTTTTTTTTTGGTTAAGTAAATATTACAGCTTCAAGCTTCCCATCCAAGAAGCTACTCTAAGCGAGCGGTGAGTAACGGGCAGAACAATTACATTCTTTCCCACTAGAGGGCAGTACAACTCCTTGCTCCAATTAAATGGGTTGCCAGAAGAAGACAAAGAAGAAATTACTACAAATGAGACCACGCAGCACGTGATCTGCTCGTGAGGACAAAAATGAATTTTTCTTTAACCTAGTTTGTCACAGAAGGACGTTTGTAATCCAGAGGGGAAATTTATTATGATTAATGTTCCCAATTACTTCATCTTAATAAATAAATACAACTGCGTTTGCCTCTTTGATCCATTTCTTTGTTCATACTCAAATACCGTGAACTGGCTTTTGAGAATGCACAAAGAAATGAACACATCAAGCTGCTTGTGCCTTTATATGTTCTGCCAGTTCTTTCTCTATATGGTCGTCAAAGACTGGACAGGCAAGTGCAGTTCCTTTATATCCTTTAATGGTCTTGTTTCTTTTCCATCTATCTTTTTCTTCTCCATAGATCGTTTTAATGCAAGAAGATGCACATATGCAGGCCTGCATATGTGCATCTTCTTCGCCACCTGAATGGACTTCCCCTTCTCCACCTTGCTCACTATAGTTCACAGCTCTGTTTACGTCCTCTAACGGAGTGGAAGCTCTGCCTGTCCTCCACATTATAACTCTGTGGCATAACTACAGGCGTATAGACTCATAGTGTGGCTTACAAAAGGACTAAAACATTTGTGAAATGTTTTCAAACTTGTTTAAAACAGACAAAAAAATCAAAACACCTTGATCACAGAAATTTTACCTGGAAAGGCAAAAATCACTTGAACTTAAATGTGCTTAATTCTCATGCAACGAGGCGGTTCTTTGCAGGATGAGAAAAATGTCGGACTCTCCATAAATGTGCGGTCACATGATCAATTTCTCCCCCAGTAACAGAAACAGGGTGTGGCACAACTCCCTCGATCTGTTCTGCTATTTTACACTCGATCATAAAGATTTTCACATGAAACAGCACAGTTGTTACTAATCGCATTCCTTAAGTCTAAAAGCAGTGCAGGCTAAATCTAGATTTTATTGTCATGAGAGGACTGAGCCTGTTTTATCGTTTCCGGTAATATCATATATCAAACTCTGCATATTTTCCAGAAATTACACTTTATTTTAGCACTTTTGTTCTACATCACGTGTCGTAACGCGTCAGCACGCCTACCTGCCAAGATGGCGATTCTAGCCACGCCTTTAAACATCACCTGGCCTCAACACTCCCTCCTTGCTGGCACACGTTCACATAGGGAGTGGACTCGTTGTGTCAACAGCTGCTCCGTGAGCTTGATGTAACGCAGAGGAAAATGTGGCGTCCCAGCTCCAGACAAGAAGCGATGAAATGTGTCCGCTGATTTTATTTTTGTTTTTTCTCTCAGGATTGAAAGTTTCAGAGCTTCACTGTAGGGCAGCATGTCCGTATCAACAGGCGCGGCCCTTCTGTGGATTTTACTTCTTACGTTCATCGTGTCCACCGTGTCAGGTAATCCGAACCTTAAATATGAACCAGGGGGAGAGATTTAGTGTGAAATATTGGTGGGGTGGCGGATCTGTCCGTTAAATATTGACACTGTCTTCACTCAGAAGCTGAAAACAGCTGAAGCAAGAAAATCCCTTTCAAGAAGCTCCCAGAGTGTGTCATTTGATATGGGCTGTGCCGGTTTTGCCCCTGTGTAAATTTGAATAACAAACATTTCAGTGTAAACTAGGTTATGGCCGACCCAGAGACCTGACTGAAGCACCATATTATGTGCTGAGCTTGCTCAGGTTTACTCAGTACAGACCTGCTTAGTCACAGGAACACTTAAGACAAGCTTCATCCATCACAGCAGTCAGTTTTATTTGTGAATGGAATTTCACTGTGTTATTTCCAGATATGACACAGGTCACACATGTTTATCCCTTTGCTCACTATAACTCTCTGTTTGCTTCCAGGGGCCCAGAAGTTGACTCTCACTGCTGAACCAGGAGCCACTATAAACATCAGAAATAATAATCAGGTCAAAGGTTGCCAAGTGTGTACAGGATCAGGAAACACACAACGTTGCAGTATTGAATCTCTGAACTCATTCAGTGGAAGTACTGTGTCAGTGGAGCTTGAATGCTCCAGACCTCAAGATGTATTCAGTATAGAAATTGTACGGCGTATAAGTAAGTGTCTGTGTGATATCTGATTATTTTATCAGTGAGACTGAATGTCCTGAGTGGACTAACGCAGTATGAGTGGATTCAATTTCTCTTTTCAGATTGCACCACGAAGTCATGCAGTGGTCACATCATCCAGACGGACTCCAACTCTATTGATGCGCTGCGTTTTAACCGCACGTTTACCTGGAATCTAGCGGCCGCAGCGCCAAAAGCTTTCCAAATAGATTTCACTAACACGGGTCTTAAACAGATCAATCCATCTGAGATATGTCCAGACAGACACACCTACACCCTCCAGGCCTTCCAGTCTACAGGCAATGTGGCTGTGGGGAAGTACTGCAGAAGTGGCACCATCAGCAGTGCTCAGATTTTGAAAAGCGGCAGCTTTTCTGTGGACGTCCCAGCAGAGCAGAAGCTGCAAAATGACAAGTTTGATGTGACTGTGGGGGAAAAAATCAAGTGTGAGTTTAGTTACAGTCACTTTTTTGTGTTTCATCCAAAATGACAGTTTCATGTAACAATTTTTGTTTTAATTTTAATTTAAAAAATTTTATGTGTGTGTGTGTTGTAGCTCTTGCCCGAATTTCTCTGACTTTACCAAAAGGGACCTCTTCCTCAGAGCTGCTCTCGCCGGACTACCCAGAGAGTTTTCCTGATGACGACATCATGGAGTGGTACTTTCAGGTCCCAGACAAACACAGGGTTGATGTTCAGTTTCTAAACCTCACGCAGCCAGATTGTGTGAAGAAGGAAGTAGCAGTGGAGTACCACCAGAAAGGCAGGGTGACATCGGTTCTGGGGCTAAATGAGACACAGCCGCTCCAGAACCAGGGAGACTTTTTGCTCACGCTGAGGAACTGCGAGATGGAGAGAGCACCTGCTGATTCTCCTGGACTCACCTTCACCCTCAAGGTGTCTGCTTCCAGCCCAGCTTCAACAGGTCTGTATCATATAAGCACTTGGTGGAGCATTTGGTAACAAAAGTGTGAGTTGGTAGAGACTAAAAATGGAGCTGAAAGAAGATTGCGTATTGGACTTGTAATTAATCAAAAGGCCATAACAAGACTACAAGTGAATACTGAGGATGTCTTCATGTCTTGAAGGTGTGTTATTATGTGCAGTGACATGTGTATATGTCAAACGTTTTCTATGTTAGAGCAGCACAACTGTGTAAATACATACCAGACTTTACAGATGTGTAGCTGATGAGTGCAGTCTGACCCACAAGTAAGCAACAAGCACCAGAAGCATGTTAGTCACAGGGGTTAAAAGCTCCATCACATTATGTCTTTAGTATTATTAAAGAGGGTGAGCTCAGATAGTCTGGTCTGTGGTTTCTCCCACTGTAAGGTGTTGGGGGATGCTGATGCTTCGTCTGACTCCAAGTGTTTCAAACACGTAGTTACTAAGTGTAGCTCCATTTCCAAAACCGATTAATAATGTGTGGGTCCCACATGGCTAAATTTAGTACTGCAGTTTCTTTTGTACAGTGGTTTTGCTGTTGGGGAGATGTGTGCTGCCTGCTCTGCATGTGGCAGCATGTACTTGTATAAATAGTTTCTTTCTTTTTTCTTTTTCTATCGTCTTTCTTAAAGGTTACAACAAAGGTGCAGTTTGATTAGTCAGTGGTATGACAATGTTCCCTTTCTTGTAATATTTGTGAATAGGAGGGACTTGGAAAGCGTGCCTTATGGCCTGTTTCTGAGTCCAGGCAAACTCTTAAATTGCCTAATCTCTTAGTCATGTATGACAGCACTGATAAATTTCCAGGAAAGTTTGAGGAATCACATTTGTTGTACGTGCTTTGTTTTGTTGCCCCCACCCCCTCCAGTGCCATGTAGAGTAGATCTCAGCAAAACTGAGGGCCTTTCTCTGAACATTTCCACGGTGACATCGACCCCTGACTGCGTGATGAAAATAAACTCGGCGAAAAAAGACAACATCACAGTCACATCAAGTGCTGATCTGTCTTTTGAGGACTGCTTTCCTGGCAACATGGAAGTCAGAGCCACGCAAGTCATAGGTAACTCAAGATTTACTTAAACTCTCGTTTCATCAGCTGTTTAAGCCTCACTGTGTAAAATCCACGGATGTATCATCAATAATTCATTATAATACTTTTGTCATTTAATCTGAATCATCTTAGATTTGGCTAAAAATTCTATGGTCCAAAGTTTGAACATATATTTAAAATGATTGCTGTGAATTTTTTACATAATATATTAAATAATTTTAAAAATATAATTTTTGAGAAATAGTCTGACTTCCAGCGTGTTTCTCATTTTAAAATCGGAGGCAATATTTGAATATCTCAAAAGAAATTTTTACTGGTTTTTCTTATCATAATTCTGGAAAGTGGATGGTGGGATCTTTTTAAAAAAATAAATAAAAAGTATTTCTTATACCAAGGCGAAGTTCATTATTTACTTTTAATCCATATAATTTTCAGGCAAATCAGAGTTGGTTCAGCTGAAAATATTCAAAATTTTGATTTTAAGACGGAATAATAATAATAATACTAATGAAGGCGTTTAAAATGCATTGTAATATAGTGTAATTTAAGGATAAATATTCACTGCTGTTTTAGATTTGTTACTAAGTTATATTTTATTATATTTTATTTTTCAGTTTATATACACGCCTCCTAATTTGGGTGCTCAAAGGAGATGTTACAGCTGTTGGCAAATACATTAGTACTCACATGTGCTTACAGGTTCATTAAAGTTAGTTGAGACCATGTGTTTAAAAACATCTGTACTACCTTCTACTAAAAGTGCTTCTCATTGTACTGTAAAGTACTTTATCAGTTTCATTTGAGAACCTCTTTCCGTTCAGATTGTAGTTCTGGTAAATGTCCTGATCCAGTCAGTCTGTCGGTGCCTCTGCTGCCATCATGCCTCCCTGCACCTCTGAGCCGTGTGACGTGGATACTGCGTCCCGGTCAGCACGGCACGGTAAAGCTGATTTCTCCCACCGGGCCCCTCAAGCAGTCCCTACCTGGACAGCTATGTGATGACAGCGTCACTATTGACGTGGCAGAAGAGAATGGAGCAACTATTGGGAGCTTCTGCCCCAACGGAGCCATACAGACCGTCCACATTCACACAAGTGTGTCTGTCACATGGTGGTCCAGCATGAATGCTAAAGCACCAAGATCGGCCGTGTTGAATGCCAGTTTTGAAAAGGAGATTACAGGTAAAAACAAGCACACTTGAAGGGGATAAGCTGAATAAAAGAAGAACATTAAATAACCATTAATATGTCACATTGTTTTCTTTTTGCAATAACCTTCAGAAAGATACATATTCACCGTTTCTCCAAAGAGAGACACCCCAGAACTTGTGGCTACTCCAGCTTGGCCAGCGGGAATGAAGGCCTACTCCACCGTCTCCTGGATTGTCTCAGTTCCTCCGAAGATGGAGGCGCAGCTGATTTTTACCAAGCTCAGCCAGCCCAAGTGCATCAACCGCCACACCAACATCCGGGTGCAAAGAATGGGCAGCCCCAAGGAGGACTACAGCCGCAGGGAGGATGAGGTGGCCAATAACGAGCTCACGGTCTCTGAGAGCTTCTACCTCAACATGTCCAACTGTTTGCCTGAAAGAGGAAACTTCAGCGTAATTACCAAGATCTCCCTGCAGAAGAGCAATGGTAAGAGGAAACTTTACAGTTACTTAATCTATATCATAATTTTCTGATTCTTTAAAAAATAGATATATAATTCTCAAGAATATTTCAATAAATTTCCATGAAAATTTGTCCAGACACTCAAGGTCCTCTGGCTTTTGAAGACGAATGTGACAAACTTTAATTTTCAGCACGCATCAGCTTGTTTCTGTTGCCTTGGTAAGGATGTTAGCCAGCTGAACATTTCGGTCAATACACTGTTGTGCATATGTAGATGAAAGATGCATCCTGGCGAGCATCATCAGTGATCTTTCCTAGATTCCTTGGGTGATTCGGATTGGCGACCAAGCCAGGGATTGATCAGGTCCTGCCATTAAGCCTCAGATTTCCCCACTTAATCCACCTGGAGGCTCCATCAGCTGCTTCTTTTGCAGTCCTGATAGCTGTGTTTCTGTGTGGTCTCTTCACGCCTGGCAGGGTGAGGACTCTGCAGCCTACTTCAACAGGAAGATGACATTGTGCTCGCCACCTTTTTCTGGCAGTCCTCCCGAAATAAGTCCTTAAAACTTGGCCAGCTTGCTTTCAAAAGCCTCCTCCAGGTGATCCTACCAGTGCACAGTCAGTTCAGTCAGGGCAGGTTGTTTTAACGGCTCTGAAAGAATGACAGTATGTGTCATCGGTGATGTGTCACAGAAACATGACTTGCTTGCCCAGACTGAGCACTGGTTCCCAGTTGTGTGAAGTGAAGACTTTGCTCTGTTCTGTGCTTTTGGTTTCTCATTAAGAAATGAGATTCATACACAGACTTGCCCTACAGCTGGAGGTGTGATGGGCTGGTAAAATGTCATACGCAGCTTGTTGAGGAATTTACTTTGTTGGTGCTCTGCTCGCCAGATGTATTTACGTAAAGTATCATCACTGACTGATTGGCTTTAGTATTTTGCCTAAAGAACTGCTGCAGCTGTAGCATACAGGAGTATGAAGCTGTAGTATGGCTTCAAAGTTGGGAGCGTGGAGGTCATGGATACTGAAACTGTTTTCTTTTTTTAACCTTAGTGCAAAGTTTTATTCTGCTTTTCTGATTTTTAATCAATGTTCTGTTTGGGGGAAAAGTTACTTACGCAGTTACTTTCCTTCTTTCTCTCTTGTGCAAGAAGAAAGCTCCAGTACCAGGATTGTATTTATCTATATTTTTATTAATTCTTCAGCTTCAGGAGGCAGCAGCCTAAGCAAGGACACCCAGAACCTCCCTCTTCCCAACTACCCCCTCCAGCTTATCTGGAGGAATACTGCTGCATTTCCAGGCCAGCTGAGAGATGTAATCTCCCAAGCATGTCCTGGGTGTGTCCTAGGGCATCATTCCGGTGGGAAATTCCGGAAACACTTCAGCCAAGAGGTTCCCAGAAGCCATCCTAGTCAGATTCCCGAACCACCTACCTCTCTCTAAGGGAGAGACCTCCCACCCTTCAGAGAAAACTCATTTCTTTTATTCACTGCCCTGAGTTTGTGACCATAGATGAAGGTTGGATGGTAGATCAACCGGTAAATCGAGAGCCTTGCTGTCATACTCAGCTCTCATTACCACAATGGATTGATGCAGTGTCTGCATCACTGCAGGAGCGTCCACCATCCGTCTGTCAATGTCAGGGAAAAATGTGATAGAAAAAGCTAACTATGCTGTTTGTTGCCATTTTTTTCTTTCTAGGCCTTTTACTAATCAACATCCTGAGTGTGGTGGCTGCTCTGCTGGTCATTTTTGTAATGGTGCTGGTTGTGGTCTGTGTGGTGATTAGGTGAGTATTACTCGTTTATCCTTTGTTCTTTGAGTCTTATTATTTTTCTTTACAGTTAACATGGGTATTTTCACATTGTTTACTTATCTGCTCTCCTCAACCTGCTAGAAATTTTTGTCCTTCATCGAAATTGATAGCGAGCATAATTTATCAGTAAATTTAATTTAAAAAAAGCTCCGATCTTCTTTTCTGCCAAACAGGAAGAAGAAGAAGCTCAGTCACGAAGTCTCTGTCTATAATCCAAATGGCATCAACTTCCTGCCAGGATACAACGGACCCCCAAAAACACACGAAGACGATGACGCTCACGTGTACACCTCCATCGACGACACACTCGTCTACACACACCTGCTGAAAAAGGGTGCAGATATTGGCATCTATGGAGAAACATACCAACATTTCACGGGACACACAGACTCTCAAAAGCCACTGCTCTCGTCACAGAAGGGTCCTCCACTTCCCAACAGGTCTCCGAGCCAAGACCAAACCCTGATGGACCAAAGTGAGGACGAACAGTCTTCAAATCTGGGGCCTCGGCTGGAGCCAGAGGGCGGCAACTGAGCAGGAGATGGGACTCGACTTTTTGATTTTTCTCTTGACCCACTTGAACTTTGGGATATTTATTCCCCGTGTGTTTGCTCGCTGTTCAGACCCCCAAAAGACACTTTTTTTGTGTTGAGTGCAGCTTTTGCACTAAAGTGAGGCACACACAAACAGCTTCCAAACCTGTCTGCAGCTGTTACAGCGTTTTGTCTCAGGTTAAGGTTCTTCTTTTTCAAAAGCAGCACTTAATCATTCCTTCTACACAGGTTTTTAGTTTTTATAAAGAGGTCTTCTGTTGCTTTCAGGAAATGAACGTTTTCCATTTGTGATATTTTGTAAATACATCGTTATCAGAACACAACGGTCTGGACTGCAGCAGCCGTATGTTGCAGCAGCATGTTCTTCTGTTGTTCATTGTTGCTTTTTGTTTTCTAGCTGTAGCGTCATTACACCATAAATGAGCCTTACAGACGGGTCAGGCTCCCTTTAGAAATTAGTAAGGATCTTATAGTTGTTTTCAGTCATTTGTGTTACTGGGACAGTGCCAAACTGAAACCGAGCATTGGAGAAGCTCGAGCCTAAAGTGCTACTAGTTCATACTGAGACTGTATATCATGATCAGCACTGATCAGTAGTTAAAAAAAACCTGTTTCACCATTTGTTATGAGGACAGACACAGCTTTGTTTGGATTACAATGAGGAAAAATATACATTTATTTGCAGTATATCAGCATCTGCCATAAAATGTATTTATTTAGTAGTGAGCTGTAATATGTTGCTGTTTAAATGTCCCTTATTCTAGCATGAGCCTAAACACGAAAGAGAAAAGTTTTCTTTCAAGGCATGCGTCTGTCCTCTTTGAGGAAAAGTGCTTCAGAAGGACTTTGGTCTTGAAAATTCCTCTTCCCCGCGGAGTGTGGCCATAAATGTTTTACAGTCTCAGTGGCTCACAGCGAGTAAAGAAACTTTAGAGGAGCCTTTAAAATCCGGAAGTTTGGAAATGTTCAGACTTGTTGATCTGTCGCCTTCATTTGGGTGAGTAAAGTACTTTGAATGCAAACACAAAATGTAGAGTGTGTGTGTGTGTGTGTGTGTGTGTGTGTGTGTGTGTGTGTGTGTGTGTGGTACGTGACTGTACTTATTATACTCATCACTCATAGTGAATAGGCTGGATTTTCTTCCAGTATAAATTGGACAGGCGGGTGTCTTGCGTTCATACTGAATCAGTTGCACAATACAATGAATCAGTCAACTTGGCACACCTATTTAAAAACTAAACGAGAAACTACCCTATGCTCATGCTTTGGTTTTGTTTTGTTTTTTTAGTTTATTCATGGAGGAAATGAATGTAGGATCCTATGATGTGACCGCGAAAATGACAACAATCATAACCCAGGTTTTATTTATTAACTTTGGTTGTAATAGATTTGTTACAAAAGCTTTTTTCTGTATGAGGAGTAGTACATTCACATTATATCTGCTGTTGTTTGTTTGTTTGTTTTTTACATCAGAGAGAAGAATAAAATGGTAAACATGTTCATTAATATCCTGTAATAAAACATGAGAAGCATAACTTAACATTTTAAATAAAGAAGGTGGCACAGAAAAGGCACTTTGTAAAAAGAACTTAGTAACTCAGTAAGAAAAGATTTTGTTATGTTAACTGGCAGCTAATAAGAGAAAAATAAAGACAAACCCTCCAGTGTTTACCTCAATGAATATTTAAAGCATTGTTTATGGAGTGTATGTACAAGTGGGTGTAGCTTATACAAAGAGCACCAAGTGAAATCTCTGTTCTGGACTGACATCTGGAAGGCTTGGCCGAGAAAATGCAGGCTGATTAAAGATGCAGCGCATTATTTTTCAGCGCATTTCATAATGTTGCACTTCATGCTTACAAAGCAATGTCAGAGACTGAAAAACGGAGCAACAGATGGTCTCTCAGACGATGTTGAACTCGCACACAGACGCCTTCTCAGCCTTGCAGTTCTCATCGAACCACTTCCCGTTGGCCGTGATGGAGAGGACGGCGCAGTTCTGGCTGGATCCCCCATCTGGCTGCTGGGTGATTTCAGTCTCCCAGTTTTTGAAGCGCACATTAGAGCCTGATTGGTCAACCCAGTGGCCATCGGTAACCATGTCATTAATGCCCAGCCAGATGTGTTCATCGGGGCCGATGCTCTGGCGTACGTAGCTGTAGAGATGGTCGTTTTCGTCTCCTGTTAGAGGAGTGCTTAGGCTGCCTCCTTTGGCGATGCAGTCTTCACTGGCGGCATGGAAGGTTTGTTTCACCAGATTGGCCAGAAAACACTTTCTGTGGATCTTTGTGCCCTTTAGACAAACTGATAGAGAGGGAATTATGAGGAAGTGGTCAAAAGCCCTGGATCTGTTTCAGCTCTTCATCTCTAGAAAGCTGTTTAACTAGAAAATGACATGCAGCCTGCAAACTGAAGCAAATACTTGAGTGGATTGTGCAACTTTGGGGCATTCTTTACAAAAAATCTAACTGCATGGTGTTTGTGAAGAAGTCTACACCTGTTTGTAAAGCTTGCTGCTCTTTCAGCACGGTCAGATCCTGAGTAATGTCATCAATTTGCCTCTGCAGATTCTCGATTGTAGAGTTGATGGCAGATTCTGCACAAAATTACCGAAACAAAAAAACAAGGTGAACTCTAACAATACTGTCCTGTAGAAGCCACAGATTTTATATTCAGTTGGTGAATATGAAGTCCTACCTTTTTTGCCATTTCTTTTCTTCGAGTTCTGCTGGGGTGAGCCGTGTGCCAACAAGAGAAGGCAGAGCACCATCCAAAGTCCTCTAGCATCCATCATACCTGGAAAAAACACCTTAAATCCAATGCAGGGAGCCTGTTTTGGTGCAGCACAGCTTCTGAGCGCTGGCCAGACTGTGGCGTTTTACACACTCGGGCTGGAGGCACAGAGCTGAGTGAGGAAATCTTATCTGCGAGAGAACAAATGTTTTACAGATGTTTGACAGAGGTTTGTGTTGCTTTTGAAAGGCTGAGGCGAGATGGATGGGGAGCAGCTTTTTGTATTTAACAGTGTTCAGACAAGCATGGCTGGTTTTTCCATATGTTTGTAAGACACCAATAAATTACAGATATCCTTTTGTCTTTTTGAGTGTGCAGTCATTTATTACATTAATAGAATTTAACAGGATCGGCATGTTGATGAAGCTATTTTGTCAATTACCTGCATCGGTTTTTGTTTAACGGCAACAACTATTAAAATGACGAACACATGAAAAGGCTTTTATCTTAGTCTTTTGAACTGTCGATCTAATCTCTTGTTTTCCTGTCACAGAGCCAGCTGTATTTCTTTTAAGGGCCAACGGTTGGATTTTTTTTTTTTTGGGGGGGGGGTCCACAGCTTACATCTGGATCGCCTAAATGAGCTGGAGGGTGTGTAGCTGACATGTGGCAGAGACTTGTGTAATAAGTAATTTCACTATTGTGAAATTGACTTTAAAATGTTTCTGGAAGCCCATAGAGTTTTACTGACCATCAGCCAGCAATGAAAGGGAAGACTGGCCAAGACTCCAACCAGTCACTATCCACAGAGCCACATTTCACAGAGCCTGGCAAACGCAAGCAAACAGAATTATCATTCTCACGTGTACAGTCCTTAAAAATAATGAAAATGCAAACTTGGATGAACAGCAACACATGACATATTACACCAGAGGCAGTGTGGAAAAATCCCACGATTTAACCACCTCTGGCAACACTAACTTGAAGTAATTGTACTCTGTATGACTTAATCAGACTCTCAAGTTGTGGAGGATTTTTTGTCCATTCTTCTTTACAGTGTTGCTTCAGTTCATTCAGGTTTACAAGCTCATTATTCAGGCTGAGGTCTGGAATTGGCTGGACCACTGCAACATGCTGATTAATTTCTCGTTCAGATAATCTGTTGTAGATTTGCTGATGTGCTGCGATCATTGTCCTGTTGTATGACTGTTCTATCCAAGCTTTAGGTGTCAGACAGACAGCTTAAGCTCATATTTGACAAGTTCTTTGGCATACCGACAAATCCATGGTTGACTCAATGACTGGAAGGTGCCCAGGTCCTGTAGCCACAAAACAAACCTAAATCCCCCGTTGTTGAAAATGGCAGCCCATTCCTCCCTCCGTATCCCGGCTGACTGATTTTTCTCTACAGTTGCAGTTTGTTTGTTCTCCTCCAGCCAATTCAAGCTGCACAGCTGCAGCTTCTCCAGGATGGCACATCCATACAGACACCAATTCAGTAGCAGGATGGGTATGTGTTCATTTGTGTGAGGTGGAACAGGATGAGCACTGCAGGTTATTTATGTGCATATTTTTGACAAAATTGTCAGACACAGACCCCTTAAGCATAGCAAGATATTAAATAAAGGGGATATGGGTGTTTAGGCCATCTATCTATAGTATTTTGTACATTTTACTTGCATTTTGTATTTCTGTTGCAAACCACTGACTGAAAATCAAGGCGCATATATTTCTCGGTGATGCTGTTTGAGGTAGAAGTGCTGGTGCTTATTGTCACTATAGTGAGCATTCCCAAAAAGTTGATCCTGTCCTTATGAACGTAGCGTTTCAGTGGGATTTCCTTACCTGGATAATTGAGCATGCATCAAGATATAGCGAGCATTGTTTGAAATTAAGAAACGACATGATGCGATTTTATCAATATCATCAATATTTTATCAAGAAAATATTTACAAAATAAATAAACATGGAAGCGGGTTCTGTGGTTTAGTAACATGACATTCAATGAAAATAAGTCATTTATAATGTACAAAAGTTCAGCCAAAGGCAAAGGCAGCTTGTATGAAGTAATACATAGAGAACAGCAATGCCCATTGGTAGTGTACACCGCCCCATGCACAGAGGCAAGAGTACAGACAGTGCGTGGGTCACAATTCACTCAAATGCATAGTTAGTAAGTTAATCAGTAAATATCAGTCCAGACTAAATCACCTCAGCCATCAATACAGTACGTCATCTTCTATGAAATTATAACAATCATGTTTGCAGTGTGCTAAGATGAAAGCAGATGGCTCCCCTCTGTCTGCGGCTACATGGAAAACTGAACTATATGATAGTTTTGTGTTTATAAACACAGGTTTCAGATAATCTGAGTAATCTTCATCATTTTGTATTTAATTATTTGTATCTTGTTCCCTTAGAGCTCTCTCATCCGTTTCAGGTGCTACTGTAATAAATACTATCTTGTGGTTCACTGTCCTCTTTTTTTAAAATTCTTAAGTTCTTTTCTGTGTAAGCTTATCAGTTTAGAAGCTTGTTAACATTCACTATTACGATCCTCTATCACTGCAACATCTGTATCAGAGCGCTTTGTGCATCGCGTTCTCCGCTCCGTGTACAGCTCAGCACTTCCGATAAACACAAAGCCGACCGCGGTGCAGCTTTGCTCTAATCAATAAGCAAAGCTCAGTGCACGGCCAGTCTACATTTCTTATATAATTTATTAACTTGGGATACACTATCACCCTGCGAGACAATTAAAAACAAAAATTCACAAGAATACACACACTTTGAAATCATAGTGCTTGTACAAAATAAATACAGCTTAATGAAAATCCAGGGGGAAAAATTGGACACACAAAGGTAAAAACATCCAGGAATAAATTAAGTGTGCTTCATGTTTGCAAAAAAACAAAACAATGAGTCCTCTTCTTCTTTTCATCACGCTTAACAATCTTTGCAGAGCCTCCCTCTCGTCTATGTCGGGCAAAGCACTGGAATAACAGCAGAGATCAATATTAACAAAGCTGCGATGGAGCCGCTGACACAGCCTCAGTATAAGGCATTAATTACAATCCAGGAGATAAAGATGAGGAAAAACAAAAGGATGTACAAGAGCAACTAAACCTATTTCTGGTGCAGGTCGAGTGATTCAAATACAGCCTTAGCTGTGATTAATAACTATTAATCCTTATAGCAGTGTCTCATATATTAAGTGCTAGGTAAACAGATCTCTATGTGAGTGGTTGTGAGTCACAGTCTGCAGGTCTAGACACTAACAACCGTGCAGGAGAGAGGGGAAGTGCGAGGGAAAGCATCGGGGTCATTCTGCACTACAGTTCAGTGGTCAAGAGGAGGCGCTCTCTCATTATGAGTAACACCACCACAACACTCATAATCGAACTGTCACAAACCTCTCCATCCAGGGCTCACACCAGAGCTACGAGTGTGGGGCAGCGATTTGTTTTGAAGAATAGCACAAAAGAAATGCGGGAAGAAAAAATAAAGACATGAAACAGAAAGTGAAATGTGGACGACACAGTCAAAAGGACAGACTGCAAATATTTAGAGATACTAAAGCTCTGTACTCGGTAAACATCATGTGCACAGTGTTTACAATTCAAGTAGCATTTTTAAAATATGACCCATTGCTAAGGGTGTAATTCACCAAAAATTAAATGGGATTTCAGTGTATTTTATTTGAAATTACAATGTAATTATATTTACCTACGAATCCTCATCCAGTACACAGTGCAGAATAAAAGGGTAACACTTCAGGTTTTTACAGGAAAGGACACTCAAATTATACTGAGAGCAATTTTAAATAGTGTGTAAGTAACTGTAAGCAGTGGTGCACTGAACTCGTCTTTTTGCTTTATGGATGTTCCACTATTCACCTGCCCTGTTATATAACATTACAAGAAAAAACAAACTCCACCAAACATCGCAGGACGTCCATCAAGGCCCGTGAAGTCGTATAGTGATGGAGTCAGTGATTATTGCATTTACAGACTTGGGCGTTCATGCCACCCACCCATCCACCGGGCAGGGTGAAGCATTTTAACCCCATTAGCCTTTTATGACTGAGGGGTGAAAAACCTGATTAATATGAGTGAAAAAAGACTAATAGAATCATTTTAATGCATATCCACAACAAGAATAAACTGTTCTTTTTAGCTATGAATACTTTTAGGTTTGTTTTTCATTTGTACATTTCAGTCATATCTTTGGTTTATTTTGTGTTTTCTACACAAAAGCCACTACACTACACTCTTCCGCAAACTTACCTGGAAGTAACACACCTCTTACAATGAATTTTGCACTACTTCAAGTAATTCACGCACTACTTAAAATGAGTTACTATGTACTTACTATATAATTTTTCTTACTTCGTATATAATGTGTTTTCTCCTGTAAAATTACAATGAAATTACTTGCAGTAAAACATTTTTCCAGTAAAAACTTGACTACTTATACTCTGTTGATACACTCCTTATTGTAGTTCATTCACCCATAAGTATATGTAGATTAACATAATCACACTGTAATTTCAGACTAAATTATATTAATTCCAGTAAATTCCGGTTGAATTACACCCTTAGTTCAGACCCTATTATAAAAGTGGTACCAAAAGTAATTTTCCAAATTTATTGCTGATTTCATTACAGTCTGAAAGTGATTTTGAAGGATCTGCTGGTGTGTTCAAAATACTTAATGAAGATTTACCAGCAAGAAACCAGATGTTAAATTTGGACTTTTACACAATCAGGTTTTATTACGTCTCCGAAAAACTTTAAGCCAACTCCACAACAGGCATATCAAAAGGCGACACATAAAGGGACGATGCTTTAATGGGGTAATAGAGAAGACCCGTTTTCATCACTGTACACAGGCCAAAGTCACCCCCTAAAGGCTTGCTTAGATGCAGGAAAACTCTCACAGTCTAGCTTGGAGTTAAAAACTCACGTTGAAGCTTTCAGAGGATTTTGTAATGAACTGAAATCAAACGAATTTGAGCATCAATGATTTACAACATGTGGTTGCAGCATATATAACCGCTGCCGCGTCCCTTTGAGCTTACATCATCAGCACAGTAATAATTGACTGCTATTGATCTTTTGGGTTATGTGGAGCAAGGATGACATATGCAGACATACTGCCAACACGGGATTTTTGGGAGTCTCTCTGTGATGTTATTTTACTTCAAATGTAAAGCACCCTGTGTAACAACACAAGAGGAAAGCTCACCTTTGAGAATGTAGTCTGTTAGGAGGCTGGGCACCTTGTCACTATCATCTCTCATAGCTTGCAGAACTGGGAATTGAATGAATCAGATTTAGTAAGTCAACTGCAACAAACTGCACAGTGCAGGTGAAGCAACTTACTTTTGGTCAATATCTGGAGGTCTTCAATCGAAGGAGGATGTCCCTTCTTCTCGTAAGGGATGACTGTGGTCAAATACTGTAAAACAATTGAGAAAACACACTGATATTAAAGAAAACAACACGTTAAGCCTGAACTGAAGTGTCTGATCTTACTAATAGTTTTGAGATTGCGGAGTAGAATGGATGTTTGTGTTTTAGGGTGGTTCCCAACGCTTATTTTTCTGACGTAGCACTTGTCAGATAAACTCAAGAACCCTTGTTCAACAACACCTCTCTTATTCAAACACGTTCCTTTGAGCTCATTTCAAACTGGATTTGAACTACTTTCACTAGAGCTATTCTGTCCACATACTTTATACCCAACGTAGGTACACCCAAAGATAAACTGCAGGTGGGAACCTAGGTTTGGCATCACCATTCGAGAGCAGATGGAAAGCACAGAGAAAAGGAAAAGCACAGTAACCTGTCTCTCACTGCACCCGCTCCCAAAAGTTTGACGGAAACTGTTTTGGATAACAGAGGAGATCCCCTCCATGCTGAAGCGCTGACAAGAAAGGAAGAAAAACAAAGGGAAAAAAAGATACAGTAAATGTAGCAGACACTAGAAAAGAAAGATCTCTTTCACTCTAGCAACACCTCAGGACTGGTGAGAATTCCTTAAAACCTGGCTGTAAAGTTAAAGTACTCACAGATGTTTTCTCCGGAAGACCTTGCGATGTCCCAGCTCCACCTTTAAGCTTCTTCTTCTTCTTGAGCGCCTCGCGGTACTCCTTCTGCCGGTTCTGCACGTCGATGAGGGCTGAGATGAAACTGTTCTTCACCTCTTTCTCAAAGTCCAGCTCATCCCTGAGAGCCAGCTGCTGAACCAGCTCCTCTGAAAACCTCCTGATCTTCATTTCAGTCTCCTCCAGACGCTCATTCAGCTCTGCAATGCTCAAGGCTTTCATCCCTGGACCACCAAAGCATATCCCCATAAATTACTAATATAATATGCAACAAAATAACTCATCATAACACACTGTTCTGATCAGCAGACACTCACTCTCCTCGTAGTCAGGGCAGCTGTTGGGCTGCTGAACGTCCACAGAGAGCATCGACAGGTCCGACTGTGACGGATTATGCTCTGCCTCCATGTCAGGAGAGTCCTGCATCATTTCCTCTATCTCCTCAATAACCTGCATCAAAGAGCCAGCTCTTAAAATAACCCATCGAGCACGAGTTATTAAACATCTGTGGAAAAGATTTCAGCCATGTTAAGCTCTGCCTATACAGGCTTGACCCAGTGTGGCTGCTTCTGGGGTGAACTATGCTGGATTCTGACAGGGCTGTGTAACGTACCTGCTCTGCTGTGAAAAGGGGCTCCTCTGCGATGCAGGAAACAATGATGGAGTGCATGTCTAGCTGATCCCTGAGCTCCTCATCGTCAGACAGCTCCAACGCGACATCTGCCTTTCTCTAACCAGGAACAGAGCAGGAGGAGGGAATTTAATCAAAGCACTAAACCCTGGCACAATGAATATTTGAGATTTGCGAGATGACCGGAGGAGGGATTTGGCATTGGAGGGAGGGGAGCCGGGTGGTGGGATGAAGGGAAAAATGAGACAGAGATAGGATGGGCCGGAAGAAGTGGAATCACTCACGGGTTTCTCCTCCAGGTTGATTGTGGGAACGTGGAGGGAGCGCGTTCGAGAACGTTTCCAGTCCACCGGCATCACATGTCCGTAGTTAGCCGTCAGAGTGTTCCAGATTCTGAGAGGACACGAGACTTTCAACCACATAGTCTTTAAAAGGCTGTCCTGCAGATTTCATTTGCCTGAACATGTTTCCAATGGGATCTGACGACTGTAAATATCTTAGCATCTGTGTTACAAACCATGTCAAGGTTGAAATCAATCAAAATAAACAAATGAACTGCAAAAAGAATGAGGCTATTTATAGTTTGAGACTGAAACTATATCTTCTTGAGGTACATATCAGGATGGACTTCATCTTTTCTTTGCATTTTTAAAGATTTCTTTCTCATTTTTAATCTTTACCAACAAAAGCAACAGTTCTCCTGTTTGCAGCACTTGAGATAATCACAGCATTCCTGGAATTCCCCTTTAGCGATACATTTTTTTACTGAAAAACAAACCTACGTTATCAGCAAGGACGTTGGTACTGACTGTGTGCACCACAGAAATACTTTTTTTAATGCTGCATCTAAAAACATAACAATCAGATTAAGCAGGTCTGATGCTTAGGTTAAAAGTATAATCCCCTACACAGCCTATCAGGTTGAAAATACCACAGATGATGACGTTTAAAAAGCGCCACTTACACCCAGAGCTGAAGCATCATGCCTCCTGATGGAGCACTTAAGCCAAGTTTCATGTTTCCTATTTAGGATTTGTTGAGGATTTTTCCACCCTTGACCTCCCATTTCTTTTCAACTTAACACTTTAAGGCTCAGTTTCCCAGACATGGATTAAGTCTAGTGTGAAACTAAAAATGTTGATTTTTCCTTTCAGTTTGTGAATAGGTTGGGAAACTGTAAATGTTTTTGGAATGAACACTTTAAAACAATCCCCAACTTCTAAATGTGGTAAAAATGCCCAAGGTGACTTTTTAAACAACCAGCAGCCTACCCTGATATGAAATTATTATTATTACATACTTAAAAAATTACTTTAACCAGCTTTAAATATAATATCGCAGTTATTTTGCAACAAATGTATCTCTTAAAAATATCACAAAGATGTTGATTTTAGAAATGGGTTAAAAATAAAACAACTGTGAGTATCGGCCAATATCGATCTTTAATATAGGGCACATAAGATTAATTTGAACTAAAGTTTAGTTTGAATATCTTGATAACAGGTGATGTGTCGATGTCTTTACTTCCTATTTTAAATGTTCTCAACATGTCTTTCCGTGTTTTTTAAACTGTATTGGAGCCTCCACATGCACACTGGATGGGAAACACGCAGCCTGCCGTAGACAGGCCGTGGACTCACTCGTCTTTCTCCAGCAGCGTGTCCTCGGCGATCACGGCCACGGGAGCGATGCTCTCCGTCTTGGCGTCAAAATTTTGGAAGCACGTCGTTAACTTCTCATCGAAATCGTTCACCAGATCCTCCATGGACCGGAACCCCGCGTTCTCTCTAGGGGAGAAGCTGCTGTCGTGCAGATCATCATCATCATCACCGCCAAACAGGAGCGACTCGGGTGCCGCTTCGCTCACGGCGGCGGCGACACGGCCTTTCTGCGGCAGCAGCCCTTCCTGTGACACCATGCTCGGATCACCCAGGTTCGGCCAGTCGTCGTCGAAATGTGCAATAGGTGCAGCCATAGCCCGGACCGGCCTAGTCGCCCCGGGTGGATGATAGATGTGTTGTTGTTGTGGGACTGCCAGGCCTCCGCATCCTCCCTGTCTGCCCGCTCTCTGCCCACAGCGAGCCTGCGCCGGGCCGCCTAGCGGCGAGACGCGGAATATAAACAGGCCACGGTGACGTGGGGTCTGAACAACAACGTGATTGTTAAAAGCAATAAAAACGCATCGTGATCATTTATCACTACTGACCCGATACAATGGCGAGTTTATACCCTTTTTGGGGTGTGTTAAAATTCACACATCGTGTTAGATTTTAACACATGTGCTGTATCTGCTCAGGGACAACACGTGCCAATTTTAACACAAAATAATGTGTCTGCTCCTTTAACACATCTTCTGTGTCAAGTAAGTCAACACACAGATGTGTTATTTTGACCCAAAGATAAAACATAGTAAAACATGTAAATTTCTTTTTTTTTAAGAAATGAGAAAAAGATGTGTATATACAGTATACATTTATTGATCCATTTTATACTTGACACATTTATTACAAACAGAATAATCGACAGTTTTCAGAATCTTTTAAATTAAAATCTATTAAAGTCAATTTTAACCAAGCCTATATTACTAAATTTATATATCAAAACAATTTCTATTCGACAGACTCAAACAAAATTAATATCTGGCTAACGTTCTAGCTCTCTAGATTATTAAAACGTCAAAAATAAACCTTTGAAATAATGCAATTATCATATATATTCTGAAATAATCATGTCCAGACAATACATGAATGCAGTTTTTTTTAAAGGTAACAGTTGTCATCTTCAACAAATTGTCAACATTTAACAAATATGCAGTTGTGTGCAAACAAAAAAACATTTACATTTCGCCGAATATAACATCCAAGTTATACAACTGTGTACCTTGGGTTCAAATACAGCTTAATGGTATCAAAGCTTGTCATTATATATAATTATATATATATAAAGTGATACACATGTTGAACCTGATCCACAGCAGTCCATCATTCAGAGGAATGGTTACTTTGTCATTCTGGACTGAAACTGTCGGACCTCTTTGTAGTGTATGCCATTGTGCATTTGACCCAGACAGCCTCCTTTCATCAGGCAGTCCTGTTCGAAGCTCATCTCACCCTAAAGAAGTAGGTTACAACTAGGGCTGCCACGATTAGTCGACTAGTCACGATTACGTCGACTATCAAAATCGTCGACAACTAATTTAATAGTCGACTTGTTGTTTGAAACTTTGTAACATCCCAAAAGACGCAGGAATAAGTAGTAGGATTTAAGAGTGTAATAACGGACTGAAACAGGAGATGGCAGCATGGCATGTTCAAGGATGCCAGCTGCCGTTAAACCCTGAAGAAGAAGAAGCAGCTGTGTCCCAGAATTCGTGGTGCAGCCCAGCTCAGTTTCCAACAATGGCGGCAGCTAGTTAGTTTTAATATTACTCATATTATTCTTTCTGGGTCACAAAATAAACGTTTAACATATTTTCAGGCGATAATGTAGCTGTGTAAACTAGAGATGGCACGATACCACTTTTTTATGTCCGATACCGATACCAATATCATAAATTTAGATATCTGCCGATACCGATATGAATTTAAATGAGAATAAGAAAGAAAAGTATGTCTTTGTGCCCCCTTTTCCCTGTTCATGCCTTATCAGCCCCCCTGGCTAAACTTTGCTAGATCTGCCCCTGCACAGTTACCAGCAGTCAGCTACGTAGAAAAGGATCCTGGTCTAGAAAGTAATATTAAATAAATTCTAACAACAGCTTATCAAGCTTAAACGTGCTGCTGTTGTTCAGCTGCTGGTTTCCTCTTTCTGGCGCGAAGTGGGCGATAAACAAAAGCCAATCAGCTGATCATTGATCAGTATCACGATTGAAGTAGCAGCAGGAGAGGGAGAGGCAGTCGCTCCATATATCGGTTGTTAAGCTTAACGTGGGAATGCTTTACAAACATTCAGAGATGAACTTACACACTTGCTTTACTTCTCTCTGGGATCACTTCCTCTGAGATGAAATGCTGGATTGGTAGCGAGGCTACAAATACACACAGCCGCTCTATCATGTGACGCATATTGCGCCGATGTGCTATGGTTATGAGCTGAGTTACGCCATGTCGCCATGTTTGTGAGGTGCTTTTTTGATATTTAATGGATCGGATTACATTTTCTATTTCTCTCCGATCCAGTAATTTACGTCAGTATCGGACCGATACCGATACATAATATCGGATCAGTCCATCTCTAGTGTACACCTTAAATATTTGCACAGTTTATCAAGACACCACATATTCAAAAGCACTCTGATGTTTTCGGCGGTGTCTGTTACCCACCAGCTCGATAGCTAACTGGGGTTCAAGGCTCACTAGAGTCCGTGAGAACACCGGACTCCCGGCAAATCATTTTCAAACCCACCGCCGTCTTTCACTACTCAGGTTAAACATATATAAGTCACTTAGATAACTTAAAATGTTATTGTGTGGCCTTTTTCAGTATTTTCTTTGTTCCTGAGTAAATCGGTTTGGCTGAGATTAAAGTTATAGTTTTTACACAGCTGAATAAACGTCAAGCAGACAGCTGATTATGAGAAGTGTGAGATGCTTGAGAATATACTCCGGTTTCACGTTATATTATAGATAGCAAGGAGTTTATTAAACCTCACCGAAACAATCTGCAGATTTCATTAAAATTTATTAAACTATCATCTTGTCTTTATTTTTAGTTAGCACATACCTTAAACACTTAAAGCTGTAAGCTAATGATAGTTATATAAGAGCAGATGCGTGCTGGTGCAATAAGCTGTATGGATGCATGATCTGATTAGTCGACTAATTGCAAAAATAATCGGTGACTAGTCGACTATGAAAATAATCGTTTGTGGCAGCCCTAGTTACGAGTGTGAGGACCACACAAACAAGGAGGTGAAGAAGATACAAAGCACGACATTCAAATGAGACAAATTTCTATTTGTGCAACAATATTACACCCATTTTCTTTTTACATTGCAATTGAAATGACACCAGTGGAATGATTGTAACATTTATAATAAATAGGTTGGCTGAGGTTTTTGCTGATAGCACATGATTATACACCCTTTTTTCTCTTTCCGTATCAACAGAACCAGATCCTTACATACAGATTGCTGAACTGAGGAAGAATATATATATGTAGATAGATAGATAGATAGATAGATAGATAGATAGATAGATAGATAGATAGATAGATAGATAGATAGATAGATAGATAGATAGATAGATAGATAGATAGATAGATAGATAGATAGATATGAGGATGATGGATGGATGGATGGATGGATGGATGGATGGATGGATGGATAGATAGATAGATAGATATATAGGAGCTACAGCATGAAATCTGTATTCTGTATTATCTATCCTGTTTTTAATTGCTTAATATAACATGGACAGCATTTATGTAGTTAAGAGACTGAAACAATGGTGTAAACAATACTGAAACAAACTTACTTTGGAGGATTCTGGTCAACATGATTAAGCCTTTGGCTCAGGTTTCATAATTAAAGTGTAAACTGGTATATTAAACTGAAAACTGTGGTTATTAATTCTGAATTATTCTTAGACACTGAATTATTCTTAGGTTATACAAGTAATTAGATTTCTTCTGAAGGTACTATTTTATTGTGTATCCAGTTGAATATGTTCTTTAAATATGACTAATAATGTGTATTAAACGCACAGATGATCACTAAACCACTAATTACTTTCCACAGTAATTTGTTTGCACAACAAAACCTTTTTTTTTTGGAGATCTGTGACGTAAATGTGCCTGTCTCTAAAGGGCTTTGGACCAACATCTGTACTATCGGTTATAAATAAAATAAATGTGACATTCAACAGAAAAGGTGTTTTTATTTTTTATTTTCTCCCAAAAAATTGAATACAATTCAGTGGGCTCCATACTGAACTTAGAGGATAGGGCAAAAAGTATCAATCTAATGCGCTAGTGTTGATCTGATACCAATACAAGCTTTGGTATCGATATTTTGATCAATCTGCCCACCTCTACCATAAATGGTACATGGACTGGTTCTTATATAGCGCTTTTCTACTCTTCTGAGCACTCAAAGCGCTTTACACAACTTGTGCATTCACCCATTCACACCCATTCGCACAAGCACATTGTTCTAAGTGCTTTCTAAGTAACTTTCACACACATTCATACTCCGATGGATGCATCGGAGAGCAATTTGGGGTTAATATCTTGCCCAAGGATATTTGGCATGCAGACTAGGGGAAGCCAGGAATCGAACCACCAACCTTCCAATCAGTAGATGACCTGCTCTACCGCCTGAGCGGTATGTCTGTATGACAAAGTTGGGAAGAAAAAATGTTATGGCAAAGATTAGTTGCTGCCGTCATAATTTCTGAGTATCCATGGTTAACGGCATCTAAATAGTAAAGGCAAATTTAGGAAACACCACTCATCAATGTTTGTTTATCTTTCATGAAAGAAAGGCTTTTTTGTTTTGTTTTTCTGTCTCATTAGTTTCCCAACATGACATCACCAGTGCTTACATTTCATATTACATCTTATTATGATGAATAAAACATTAAATATTTATGACTTCTCACATTAAAAAAACTACAATCACTTAGTTTGGAAATGAATTAATAATTTTAAAGTGAGGACAGAAAGAGCGACCTCCTCTGGATGAAACAGGCACTTCTGCAGACTTCGCTTAATACGTTACATTGTTGCTATTGGAAACGGACTCCACACAAACTGAGAAAACACCGGAAATCCCTCTGAACCTCTGTTATAGTTCATTCTCTGAACAGAAAGAAGTCCAAAGAAGAAATAAGTGTGGGATATTCAGGCTTTGGATTTAAAATGAGCTCTCCTTTGTCGATGCTAAAGAAAACCAAACGCACTCCTCTGCAGGGCGCTCACAAAGAGCAAGGGTAGGTGATTAACTCCACACAGGTAGAAACTGGACTGTAGTTTTATTGTGCAGAATAAACGTATCAATCGTGTCGCCACACTTAATTTTCTTCGACCTGCAGGAGCAAATCAAAAGTTCCTTTCAGGAGGAATCTGCTGAAAGGTAACGATGCACTCACAGATCACCAGCAGCGCTGCAAATTCAGTAAAGTACAAGTACAGAATAAATAAATACATCAGAACTAGAACTACTTCCCTTTTAAACCCTTCAAATTAAAGCTGAAAGTCTGCACTTTAGTCACACTGTGATTGTTTGATTTAAAGTGTGTGGAGATCTAACAGTATTCATGTGTCCACAACATAAATAACTTAAACTGTGATGAGCAAAATGCAGCAAATCCTCACATTTGACGAATAATAACAATTATATCTTACTGGAGAAACTGATCATAAGTTTATCAGGTAACTTTTCCAGTTGAAAAAATAGCAAAACATCTTTTATAACCATGATACTTTTTGTTTTTAGAATTTGAGGCTGAATTGGCCGATGAGTCTTCTGATTACGCTCACACTACAACCAACGAAGCCTCCACCTCAAATACGGGAGCTCCATTAAAGAAAGGTAGGCATTAACACAATGCTTCATATTCCAGTGTTAATATATCTTCTTTTATTTATCACATACAAAATGATTATACGTTTTATTTTTCTAATACTTAACTGCTGGTTTCCAGGGTGTCCTCCGACCAACTTTGACCTCATGTCTGCCATGATGCAGCGAGTGACCCTCCTGGAGAAAACAGTGAGGAGCCAGGCAAAGGAGATAGAGCGCAAAGTGAGCATGCAACCCCTTCAACGAATACCAAAACTGCCAGCCATCCTTTAAACATATTTAAACCTCACTTTATGGTTTCATCATTCCTCCCAAGGATAAACAGATTTCAGATTTAGAGGAGAAGCTGAGGGTTCAGGAGAAGTCAGGTAATTACCTACAGCAGGCACAGACTTGAGTTCGATTTATGTTAAGTCGATCAAAGCGTTTTCATGATTGTGTGGATTTAGGAAGCATGCATGACCCGAGGAGCAGAGATGATCTCGAAAGCCGGTGCCAACAACTGCAAAATCAAGTGCATGAGATGGAGGTGAGTAAGGTGTGTTCATAAAGTATGAGATCGTGATTTTATCAGTGTGGAGGTTTCACTGAGCTGCTGTCGTTGTTGCAGGACTTTCTGAATGATTATGGTTTGATCTGGGTGGGAGATACAGACTCTGGTGATCCTGCAGAGCGAGGTAGATCCACCAGTCCTGCAGACCTGCAATCCCTCCGTGTCTTTTGTATGTTAAAGCTGTGCTGTTTTTGTTTTGTTTTGTTGTCTTCTGCAGAGACTTCTGGTGGCAGAGGCTTCCACATAAACTTTGATCTCGTGCTGCAGAGGATCAGAGAACTGAACGTCTTCCTAGGGGAAGGAGAGTCTTTTGTGCAAATGACAGCGACAGGAGCACAGCTGGCAAAAAAGGATCCCATTCCACTGAGGCTCTACAGGAATGGCATTGTAATGTTTGATGGTCCTTTCCGCTCATATCAGGAGCACAGCACGCAGGTTAGCTACACTAAAAAAAGGAAAATCAAAGTCTATATTAAACTGGAATCTTTCCTTGGTTAAAAGTAAACTCTTGGTCCCTGCAGCAGTGCATGCAAGATCTAATGGATGGCTATTTTCCATCTGAGCTTCAAGAAAGATTTCCGGATGGTGTACCTTTTGAGGTGAGTCTCAGTTTCTTCTTCTTATTTTGTTTTTGGGAACAATCGACTGTCTTCACAAAAATTCTCTTTGCAGCTTCATGACAGGCGATACGAGGAATTCAACTCTAGGCTCCCGTGGGAAACGTTTCCTGGTGAAGGACAGGCTGTTTGTGGGGACAAAGATGAATCAGCAAGCTCGCTGAGTTCTCACTTCCCCGGTCTGTTCTGCAAACGTCACCCTGATCAAAGCCGCGGTGCAGATCCTCAGAGACTTTGCTGTCATTCTCATGTTTTCTTCTGATTCAAAGGCAAGAAGCTGACCACAGATCAGTTCCTGAACAAGTTGCCGAAGTTGGTGGTGAAGGCCGGCCGAGTGATTGATATCAGGAACTCGCTGAGGGCAAAGCTGCAGGTGAGTCGTAGAGAAGCAGCAATTATCTGTTTGTACAAATATACAGATGAGGACAAAATTACCAGCCACCCTACAAAGTTTAAAAGCTTCGTTAACATTTTTCCGAGTGCTTTTTTAAACAGACCAAGGAATTTTTAACATAACATTTGTAAACATTGTAGTTTTCTTTATAAAGCATCAACTATTATTACCATTTCAGAAAAAAGCAAAAATTACCAGGATCAGTATTATTAGTTCCCTGAAAAACCATAGCAGGCACTACTGCTGTGCAATGATGAGCTTTAACATTGTAATGCTCAAAGCTAAGAAGTTGAAACTGAGAGTTAGCTTCCAATTTTCTCACATTATAAAAACTTCAAGCTGCCACCTGAGAAAGCATGCTACCAAAAACAAAAGAAATCCGTTCAGACTTACTCGAGTCGTGAATTATAGTCTCAAAGAAGATAATCACTAGAATCCAGCACAGGAATGGACTGCAAAGCTGCAGAACAAGAAAAACTCCACTTCTGCAGAACAGATAACTTCATGCCAAACTTCACTGAAGGACAACCTGGAGAAAGATTTTAGATACTAGTAGCACATGCTTTGATCAGATGAGACAAAACTAGAGCTCTTTGGCCAAAGAGATGCTTTTTATGTTTGGAGAAAGAAGTGAGAGACATATAAAGCAAAGAACAACGTCCCCACATTGAAACACAGTGGTGGCAGTATTATGTTGTGTCTGGAACTGGGAATCTCTTCAAGGTGGAAGAAATCAAGATAAAAGGATATGTGAAGATTTGGGAGCAAAATCTCAAGCAGTCACCAGTAAACCTGTGTCTGGGTTGTTGCTTTGTCTTTAAGCATGACAGTGCCCCAAAACATAGTCACCCCCGGTGAAGACCAGGCTCCAGAAGGCCAAAATCAACATTAATTGTCATTAATGTCATTAAAGGCCTGCACAAATCTCTGATTTCAGTTCCACTGTTTCTCTGTTTAGCAACACTTGGGAAAATCTTTATAGAGGGCCTAATGGTTAAGTCCTCATGTATATATAAGACAGCACTGATAATCAGTGTGCTTCTACCAGGGTACATCTGATGTGGACAGCAGCAGTTCAGTGATACTGATAGATACACCGTCACTGCAAGCGAGTACTGAGAGGTAAACCAAATGTTCTCTTTTATTTTTTATGTGTATAGCATAAATATTTGTCTAATCTGCCAGTTAACAGACTTACCAGAGGGTGTCAGTCATCACAAACTCATGCTGTGCAAATAAGCATGGCTTAAAAACATTTGCCATACCAAATGAATACCAAATGGAAAAAATGACAAGTGCAAAGTGGGTTAAAGGAATTTAAGAACACCACACTTGATGTAAGACCTGCTTAAATCCCGATTTGGCCACTGATCTTCCAGATTGTAGAGATTACTGTATGTGCTGATCTGAAAATGAGGGCAGCCATCAGCTGGTGACCGTGTTTGTGATGCAACGCTCCAGTTTTCACCCACATTTTTCTAACAACCATAATGCGTCATGGCTGCCACCAGACTGCAGGCTTTCAGCGCCTACCAGCCTGCCTGTAATGTCATCACTCTCAAGGTGAAGTCAGAAGACGGGAGTCACACTTACATAGTGAAAATGTCCCCGTCGGAAACAGTCGGTGACCTGCGGAGGTACCTGGACAAACACAGGTGAGGACACATCTCAATGCACTGACCGCACCGCTGCTTTTACAGTCACGTGACCCAGCCTGCTGTTTGTTTGTCGCTGCACTACAGAAGGGGCGGTGTGCCCAGTTATGACATCATCAGCGCATACCCACAGCGCAACTATGATGATGATGGTCAGACGCTCCAGTCGCGTGGAATCGTGACAAACGCCACTCTACTGCTGCGACAGAGGAAGCCCGATCCTTCACTGGCCGACGTCAACAAAGCTGTTAAAGATTAAAGAATTACTTTTATCTTGTTACATCAGTGCTGTTCACAGCAGAGCGGAGCGTGAGCAGAAGTAAAGGTGTTGCTGATGTTATTAATGACGACTGTGTTCTGTGACAGTGAGGCCAAAAGCATTCACAAACCCATGACACTGAAATAAAATCCCAATGAGCCATTATTCCTTTTGTTTCTTATACCTTTGCTCTTATCTTAACAGGGACACAGATCATTAACACCAATATCTAATCAGATAATCACATGGCAGCAATTCAGTGCATGTAGACATGCTCAAGCTGACCTGCTAAAGTTCAAACAGATCATCAGAACGGTTAGTGCCAGATGGGCTGGTCTGCTGGGATTTTCCACGCAACCATCTCTAAAGTTCAGAGACAACGTTCAGTGAGCAGCAGTTCTCTGGGTGAAATAGGAGAAACAGAATGACTGCTTAGAGCTTATGGGAAAGGAGCAGTAACTTGTTACATCCACAATATGCAGAAGAGCATCTCTTAACACACAACACACAGAACCTTTAAGCAGGTGGGCTACAGCAGGTGAGGACCACACTGCTGTCAGCTGAGACCAGGACGCTGAAGTTTCGATTAAGACTGGAAAAATGTCACATGGTCTGATGAGTCCGTTTCTGCTGCAATACTTGGATGATACGTTCAGAATTCTGAGTAAACATAAAAGTAAGGTTCAGGCTGCTAGTGGTAGGACATAATCTCCTAATTTGTGTCTTTTAAAGGACAATCTCTTCCCTGGACTCATTATGAATGTGCAGCTGACACATCTGCAGGAACAGTCTGGTCTTTTCATCCTTTCTCTGCAAAGTTAAACAAATAAAAGCAATCTGAGACCAATTAAAACAAAACCAAGTGTCGAAAATCTTTATTTCTAAAATATGCAAATACAAACAAGGACAGAAGTATGAAAATATAAACATATTTTTTCCCTTTTGCAAAACATTTGAGATGTTAAGGCATGCGGAGCCCGACTTTTCAAAGAGAAATCTTGTGCTACTCAAGTTTAAAGGTCCCATGAAATGAAAAATGGCTTGTGTGTCCCTGGGTGGTGTTCAGAATAATAAAAGTCATTGTTGCATATTTTTATGTTAAAATCCCTTTCTCTTCCCATAAAGTGTCATGCTTTTTTGTTTTTGTTTTCCCCTTTTAAATGGCTTATCTCACCGTCAGGACAAATACAAAAACTCCATTCACTTCGATGTGACCCGTGATTATGGGGTGATCCAGCCAACCCCTCCACAGTCACCTCCACAGTCAAAACGCCTGAAGGAACATCCCATCTCATCACACCTCAAACCACAAAGAAATAATACAATCTAACAGACACTTCATGGGACCTTTGCACACTGTGGATGCTTGCTGAGACACGTTAGCACATTATTACAGCAACAACACGTTAGGAAGACCCAGAAAACTTTCACACTGAGTTTTCAATGCAAACAAAAAAACCCTAAAATAACAATAAATAATACTGAAGATTAATACTGTTTCTCATTCATACATTTACTCAAACAGTTCACCGCTCTGCTTGAATGCGAGTCTGCTGTCATCGACATGAAATCTACGCTATATCTACGCTCAGACTTTCACCGTGTTTTAATCATCTACCAGGGCCAACTCGAGCTTTGCAACACGTTTTTTTTCCTACTACATTCAGTGTCAGAGGGAATGTATTGACTGTCCTACTGGTTGACACACTGAGTGAACGGTTATACTGGAAGAGTCAGCTGCAATCAGCCCTTTGTGGTTGGTCTGGGATGAAATTAGCATTGCAGTTGCAAACGCGACAGAAAGGCACATGTTGGTAATTCATTCAGGAGGAAGCCTGCAGCAGCGAGGAGTGCTCGCACACCTGCACGACTGCTTCGACCGGTGTTTCTTTGGTATACGGTAGGCCTGTTGGTGTGAGAAGCTGATTTGGTATTAAACCTCTTTTAGTTATTATGCCTCATACCTCACAGCAGAGTCCAGTATTACAGTGTTCACCATTTCAAATGGCGCATTAGTAACATTTCCTTGCAAAGTCATTAAAAAAAGGAAGAAAAAAAAAGCAAAAATAAAAAGCAAAGGTTAAATATTTTCAGTTGATTGTCAACTACTTCTCAGATAATTCCCCTTTGGAGGGAAATTAAATTTTAAATAAGTTAATATTTGCAGGACCTCTACACAAAGAGTTTTCCACCAAAGTGGAATAAAAAGTATAAGACTGTTTTGGTAACTGACAGCATCATGTCGTCATCATTATAAAAACAAAAAAAACCCACACGTGCGCACACAAACACACAGACACACAATGCTTAAGGATCAAGTATTAGAGGTAAGTTATATTCTGTTAGCCCTTGGACTGAAATAGATGAACTCAATGGGATGGGGGCGGGGAGGTGGGGGCTCTGAGCTACAGGCAGGCTTGAGACTCGACATGCAGTCAGTCGAGAAGTAGAAGCTAAACCATATGGGCTTTCCTTTGTCCTCGTTTCAAGGAAATTATAGTCCAGTCCTCTGACATTCAGGAACAAAGCGTGGAAGAAAAGCTTGTTAAGAGTCCTCCGAGATGAAGAGGTTCCCGCAAGTTTCCTCCATCGTGGCTGGTTGTCGAGGTTACTGAGTTATGCAGTTTTCTCCCATGTCCTGAGCGTAACGGTCCAGTATTACGTTACGCAGCTCCTCGACATCGCGCCGGAGCTGCTGGACTTCGACCAGCTTCTTCTGCAGCACCTCAGGATTCATCCAGTCCTCGCCGTGCTCTGCCACGGATGGGGGTGCTGGAAAAACAATGCATAATTGGTTCTCATTCGATTACATTTAATTTAAACATCAAATTCAACACTACAGTGAAAAAGATGAAGGTCAGAAATAAAAACTCGAGTAGTGCTTACAAGTGAGGCCAAGGAGCAGGGACAGGTTGGGGTCTTGTCCCTGGGCTCGCTGGGTTAGGATGCTGCACAGTGAGCGCAGGTCACTGAGGCAGGAAGCAATCTCAGTATGCAGTCTTTTTGTGAGATTAGCCCCAGCTGGCTGCAGGACAGAGGAAGCCTGGTTAGTGCACTTTTGCTCTGGATCGCTCATCTGCTCCTGCAGCGTCAAATTCTGCTCCATTAGTTCCTGGTTCTGGGTCGACAGCTACAACACAATGATCGGCATCGGTGTTAGGAGCTGTCGAGCTTTATTGAGGACACTCAGAGGTCTGATTTCTAAATTAAACAGAAACTGAGAAAGTTGGTGCTTTTTTGGAGATGGTGGTTAATATAGCTCACCTCCTTCATGGCTGTGTGGAGCTCTAACATGTTCTGCTCTTTGGCCAGCACCTCCTCTCTGAGAGCCTGAGAGCTGCTTTCTTCCTGAGATATCTGCTCCTCCAAAGCCTGCAAAAGAAAAAAAAAAACAGATTTAAAAATGTTGCGTGCTACAGAAACAGCAAACACACACTCATTCAGATTCCCTGTGAAGAGATAAACACCTGGATCTGTGATCCAAGCTGTTCCATCATCCTGTGTTGCTTCTCAATAACCTGCAAAGAGAAGAAATGAGCATTAAAACAACACCAACTTAAGCACCAATGAGACGTTACCGACCAGCGTGTGCTGGATATTTTCCATGTTATTGATCTAACTTGCACACATGAGCACAGCAAATTCAGTACACACTGCAGAGAACATGCTGTAAACCACATAATACAGTCATTTCCCAGAGAAATACTCACTTCTCTGTAAATCTAACTCATCTGAACATGAACTTCCTCTAAGCTCAGGAGTCATCTGAGGTCAATGCACAAAGTGGGTTCTTTCTGCATCTTTACTTTGGGATAGAAATTACTTTTTAATAAACCTACATACAAATAGTCCTTAGTTATTCTAGTTTATCCAGTGATATTTACACTCTGAATCCTGTCTTTGTGTTCTGCCCTGATCTGAAAAGGTGAGCCTTCTTTGCACATGTAAGACCACACCAAGCAGACCTTTTTGAGTCTTTGCTGCTCCTCTTTCAAACTGTTGTTCTCTCCTCTAAGCTTCTCAAAATCCAGAGAAGGGAGTCTGGCTCCATCCTCCAGGCCCTGCTGTACCCGCTGCTGCATACTGATGAAGACAAAAATAACGCAGAACACTCATTATGCACAGTTATTAGGTTTTCTTTTTACACTGAGAGCGAGGAGAAATAACATGCCTACAGAGAGGAGTACACATACTCAGTAATGGTGGTCAGCAGGTCCCTCTCCCTGCGTTTCTGCTCCTCCAGGTATGAGTCTTTCTCCTTCAGCTGCGAGTTTGTCGTCGCCAAACAGTCGTCCAGTTCTTTTACTTTCCCTTCTAGCTCTGCTACCTGATGTTCAGCTTCCAACAGCTTATTTTAAAAAAGCAAACAAACATGAGCAGGTTTAATGATTAACACATGTGCACCTGAGCAAACGAAAAGGAGTTAAAGTTTAGTGTCCTAACCTGTTTGTTCTGGTTCTGGTAGTCCTCCAAGGTGGGCAGGTCAGCGAGGTAGCGCTCAAGAGTCTCAATACGCTGCTGGTTCTCCCTCTTCAGTTCCGACTCCTTCTGACACTTTTTCTTCAGGTTGCTGATGTGCTTGTCTCGACTGCGGATCTGCAAACATAAACACAAGTTAATCTGATAACAGTATCCAAATGTGCCGCTCAGTACTGATTACAGCCCTTCTCAATCATCTGATGATGAATAAAGGAAAATGACAAACCCAGCGTTACTTTTTAGTTTCAAAGAAGTTTGTTTAATGACAAGAGGAAGCGTGCTTCAGGCTTCGAGTGATTAACCCTGACCGATTTTTATCTACACCATATTGTTTCTTGTGTGGGAGACAACAACTTCCCACTTGATGTCCTTGGGCTCAAGGACGTCAAGTGTTTTGCTCTGCTGTTAGCTAATATCAAATACTGGGACATGCTAGAGCAAAGTATTGGGCAGGGTTTTTATTTATATTAAAAAAAAAACCAACCATTGCATTGGCCATCATTAGGGTTTAAAGGTTTTCAGTCTCGATATTGTGGTTCTCGTGTGCATGACTCTTATAAGGACGTGTTGGGTAAGCACAAACCCTTTCTTCCTGTTTCTTCATCTCCTCCGTGTGCCTCTCGCAGGCTTCCTTCAGATTCTCGGTCAGTCGCCGCATCTCAGCCTCAACTGCCGCGAGTCTGCGCTCTGCCTCTGCTTTCTCCAGAACAACAGAGTCTGTGCGCTCTGCAAACTGCGCCCTCAAGAACGCGTTCTCCCTCTGAGCCTCCTGCAAGTCAACATCAAAGACTTAGCTGAGTAAGATATGGGTGCAGTTAGTCAACATGACAGCAGTATAGTAGTCCTAAGTGTTGCTTTCTGGAGGCTGAGCATGTTTTTACTAACCTGTAGACGCAGCATATACATATCTCCATAAGAAGCTCCTCTGCCCAGGAGGGCTCCGTGAACCTGCAGCTCGCTTTCCCTCAGACGCTGCTCCAGCTGGGCCATGTGCTGCTTTTGTCTGCGATCACAACCAAGTCCAACCATCAACAACAACACAAACATTCACAAAGCTTTGTTTTGGTAATTTAATAAAAGCAGTGAACCCATTACAAACACTTACCTCTCAATGATAAGCTCCTTCTCCTTTAGCAGGCTCTCGCTGGCTTTGACCAGCGCGTCCCACTTGCCCGACTCAGAGTGAACCGGTGTTGAGTATAGAGGTGGGTACTGACCCATTCCTCCACCCATTAGCTGTAACAAGCGAGGGAGAAATGTATTACGTGTCAGTGTTAACTGACAGTGGCGGACAAGTGATGAGACACACCTGCATACTTTCCACTTTTTCACACAATTTAGGAGTTAGCAACAACAGATCTAGTGCTTTAAAGTACCGAGTACTGCAAACGCCTCATGAATAACCTCTAGACACATCCAATTATTCATATGCAACACGAAAGTAACAACTACTTTTTTGTCAAATCACATGGTCATGGGTCACTGTGCTATGAAATAATTAGCAGTGCCAGCAGTGTTTGTTTTCCAGTAAAACTTTAGATGACTAATGTTAAGGTTGTAATGGTACTACTAGTCTTATCAACACTACTTGGTGATTTGTGTTTTCACTGTTGATGTTGTATAAGAAACAAATTAACAGGATTCAGGACAAAGACAATGATAGTGATGCTCGTCATGCATGTGTGCACTCAGGACAAAACGGTTACTTTTAATCATTAAGCCTTCAAGCTACTGGCAGACTGCTGGAGTTTCTGCCTTTATATGCAAAAGACTTGTACTTGTGACTTTAGGAACCATAATTCATTGTGTAGCTTTGTACGTGCTACACTGTGCTGCAGCTGCCAATGGCCTTCACGCACATATAGAAACAGGGAAGATGAACTTCTGATTCTAAACCCCAAATTATAAAGTTTGAAATACAAACTGGACAATATATTATTAATAAAACAATAGTAAAGGACACCAAGTTTCTTTATTTGTTCACTGCCAATAGTACAACTGGTAACATTGGAGTTGATCAGTATTCTTATGATCAATAAATAAGCTCTGGTACCTGTTTGATTTCTGCTTTAGTGCCAACATCTTTACATCAAATACTTATAATTTTAGAGCCACACACGCCACATTTATGCTGACAACATAACAGGTTTAAATCTGCACACAGCTAGCCACCTGACAGTGACAGAACAAATAAACTGGCATAACAAATATGTTCCCAAGAAACATGAACACGAGCCTGTCATCTACTTCTTTTGTTAATGTCAAATAGGCTATGTATGTTGAGGACAAAAACGCTTATTGGGAAAGGACACAAAAATTATATCTAAGCATTTAAAATACAATAAATAACGTTATGTATTAGAAATGAGTGAATGCAGCTCATTGATCTCGGCTTTGAATCAGCAAGAGGTTGTACAGCCTGTTCATATAGTATAATTACCTCTCAATACGATCAGGTTTAGCTTGTTTTTGTTCAGTGTTAGTTCCAGAAAAACTGCATTAGTGTACTTAAGTGTTCATTTGTAAGCAAAAATGTGATAAACTGCTAAAAGTCACACTTCAAAGTGGCACTCGGTCAGCATCTGCTCCCAAACATAACAAAAGTCAGTGTTAACAAAAGATCGAATAATTAAATATATCTGCAGACAGCATATAATTGGTTGAAGTAGTTGAAATTTAAATTTTGGTTATTGATCTGTTTAAAATCCTGTTTTAAAATAAAGTTAAATGTGTATTAGACCACATTTTATATGTAATTAATAAAGAAATGGGAAAATCTATACATTGTGTATAGAAGCTATTCTTTTGCCAAGTTTTAATCTTTACAAACAAACAGCTACTCCACAAATCTTCAGTTTTTTACATTTTCCCAGATACATCTGAACCCATTTAAAGCTGCCTTTTTTGTTTTGCCACCTAGCAAAATATATTGTGTGGAAAAAGTGTCACAAGATACACTTGAAATCCAAACTTGTTGGTCTCACTTTCTTTACCAACAATCTTGCAGCAGTAGATGTTTTATATTGAGATACATACCTGCATTTGTTCCATTTGCAAGCGTAAGCTTTCCAGTTGTTTATGCTGCTGTTGCTGCTGCCAGCTTGGAAGTTCACTGCATCTGTCCTGCCGCAGCGGGTCATAACCTTTGGAGCCTGCGTGCTCTCTCAACAGAGCCTGCGTCTGAAGGCTAAGAGGACTCGTATAAACTCCAGCAGATCCGGCCACACCAGGCTGTCCGCCCCTTTGATTAGAGGCTTCTGCAGTACCAGGAACGCCAGGCCTAGCTTCAGGCAGAACTTTATAGCTGTGCTCCAAACTTCCTCTGTAGGCCTCAGACACGTAGTCTGGAGTGTCTCTAATCCCGGTCTGTAACCGGAGTCTCATGTCAGGGCATAACCCACCCAGAATGGCTGACTGATTCAGTGTAGGTTCCACCGCAGGAGTATCAAACCTGTGGCCCTCGTCCAATCGCGTATGGTCTGTTGGGAAAAGCGAGTGGTCCAGCCCATTCACCAGACTACGGTATCGACTCAGGCAGTCGGGCTTTACCCCGACGGGATCTCCTCCCAGGCCAACTTCAGCATCCAAGTTGGGCGAAGATGCTGATTTGGAGAGAGAGGAGGACTTTGACGTGGTGCCGCTTGGGGTTCTGGAGCCAGAGGAAGATCTGTGACCTGCAGCTGAGGACAGGCAGTCCTCCTGGACACATGACTGGGGCTTTGAGGCCGGGGCTCCGGCCGTGGATGGCATGACATGTGCAGTGGGTATGGGGATCTGACTGCGGATGGGCTGGAAAGAGGGGCTGCTGCTGGAACTGCAGAAATCTTTAAAAAAAAATAAAAGAAGACAAACATTAGAACCAACATTAAGAGGATTTCTCTCACACTACAAATGTTCCCTGTTAAATCAGTGCAGAATATCTGGAGCGCTACCGCAGGCCATTTTCTCTATTTTCAGTCAGCAGTGTAAAGTAGATGCAGCAGGGTTTACTGGTGGCCTACTTTGATGATGAGGTGTCACCGCTGAAAGAATTAAATGGCTTTGACTGACTCAACTCAGGGAATAGGCTTATAATAGACTTAAAGCACTGCACAGAATTAGAGCTCCGTGTTACATGACAAACATTTCCTGTGTTCACTGTGTTAATAAACCTGCTGATACCTGCCTGAAACATGTACAATTATAACCCACTATAAAAATATGTTACTGCAGAAGGGCAGACAAAAAGTTCAGCCCTATAATTAGCAAAATTTTGACAACACACATGGCGTACTACAGCTTCAGTAAACACAGAGTCCAGTTTACTAAGCAAGCACATACAGCAATGTTAATCTGGAAGCTTCAGAGATGATAAATGACTTTAGGAACACAGGAAAACCCAACACCAGCCATCTCCACAATCCTCAACACACGTTACACAACTGTTTTACCAGCACTACGAACCTCAGAGAAGTGTTGAAGTCTGAAAATTGGGCAGTCACTCGAACACAGCAAATGTGTTAGAGGCTGTGGCATGTTTTCTAACAACGAGCGGAAGTGAGCAGAGCGGCAGAACGCTTTAAATCAAAACACAGAACAGTCTTCTGCATTTCCTGAGAGCAACAGAACAACCTGTGAAGCCAAGACTGACAGCTGCCCGACGAGCAAGCCCAAAGCTGTATTGTCCTCCAACAGAAGACCTCGCCTTTACCGAGCCCTGAACGAACGCATACAAACAGGCACACGCAGGAAAGGTTAGGGGGTATTTATAGCCCACCTCTCAAGTTACAGAGCAATCTGTGGGTGCCGCTTATTTAAGCACCTTGCCTCCTCCCACTGAACCACACATCACACGTGTACCTCCAAAGTCAAATACTGAATGGGATACTTCTACCTCTTACCAGTTTAAACCAGAACTGATTTAAATTAAGACACCCTGAATAATCACTGCACACAAAAATAAACAGCAAACATGCCAAAATAGGGTGGGGGGAAAAAAAGAACAAACTTTTTTTTTTTTTTAAAAACATAACACATCTGATATAAAAGACGCCTCAAGGCTCCACTGAATCACGACTGGCTAGAACATGTCTGAACTCCTCAGCAAGAACAACCTTTGTTAGATGTTTTCTCAACACACATTCCTACCCAAAGACATAAAAACCCAAAACTTGTTCATTTGTATACCAAATCGAGTGTATTTCCCACTTCACGGTGACTCTAAAAACTCATTATCATAGCTTTTAGTGAAAGACACTGATAAGATATCATTGTTAACAATGTCATTATCTCTTCTGCCTGCTGGTCTGATTCTTTATCAATTCCCTCATTGATTCATGATCAATCATCCAAGTACATAGTTTTTCAGCTTAGACACAGAGGTTTTACTATGCCTGAATCTGAGCACAGTTTAGAAACAGAGTTTTGTTTTTTAGAAGGCCTGTGTGTGACTATGATGTGCAAAAACCTTTTTCCATGAGTTTGATGTCCCTCTATAAAATATGCAAAAGTCAGGAAATAATGAAGGCCCAGATTAAAAGGCACTGATCAGCTTGGAGCCACAAGAATGCAATGGACTGGACAATTTGATACTGGTGCTAAACTGGAAGCAGTTTAATTCCAAACCCTAATTAACTGCTATATTTATAGGCACTGCCATCAGTCTAGGTGGTTGGGAAAAAGCCTAATAGCTGCATTACTGGATATATTAAAGCCAGTTTCCCACATGCACAATAGCCTGGAACGTTTCTAGATATCATCCAATGAAAAGTCTCTCACCTCCAAGTTTGCCTATGTGAGAACAGAGTGGACAACTGTCTGTTGAAGGAGAGCACAAAACTGTAGACAATGTTTAACCAGATTCTCCCAACAATGTCTGGAGACTTCTGTTTTGTATTTTAATTTCACCTTTATTCAACGTATCAAACTGACATCTTGAGAATATGATATGAGCCAAGGCAGGAAACCAAAACTTCCAGAGAAAAATCCAGAAAAGCACTCAAACTACTCAGGATTGTACAGTGGGTCAGTGCTGCTAGTTTAGCTCTGTAATAGCTTACAACTATTGCTATAAACGAAATTTGCTCAGGGAACACAACTCAATACATGAACATGTGGAGGGTTGGACAAAATAATGCAAAACTAGCAATTAGTGTATCTAATAACAAGCCTGCCAACCATTTGCTTGAATACAGCTCTGACCGTTATAGGAATATTGTCTTACAAGCGCTGAGCTCAGCGATTAACATGTTCAGGAGGTGTAAGATAACGCTGGCCACCTCAATGGCATCTGCTTTCATTTATTTCAAAGACAGAACACATGCATCTACTAGCACTAATAACTGGTATTTACTGGAAGTTTGAACGTTTTGGTTGTTTCTTATTGTATCTCTGCTTGTGTGTTATTTGTTTATGCTCCACTGACTGTACTGTTGTCTTTCTTGGTCAGGACACTCTGAAGACATTTTTTCCTGGTTAAATAATTTTTTTTTTTTTAAAAAGAACTCCACAGGTTCTCTTAAAGCTAACTGATAAAAAGCCAGGAGCAGAGATTGTTTAATTCACCATAGTGACAGGGAGAGCACCAAAACAACCATCAGTTTACTCAGTGTGCTGGGACACCATCACCTCACTAATATTTTTCCTTGTCCTTGACAATTGCCTGGCAATCCACCCATAAATACCAGCCCAAAGCCTACAGTGCTGCTACTCTGCAGCCTATTATTTTGTAATGTTTCCTTTGGAAACAGGGACCACCCATCCCAGCTGGCCATCCATTAAACACAGCCTTTCAGTCCATTATTTTTTCCACTAGTGCATGCACACACAAGCTATCAAACCATTGGGAGATTCCCATTTTAAACATAACAATGTGAAAGCAGTGATATTCCCACCACAGGCAAGGTACAGCCTTGGCATTCAAACATCTCCTCTCACTTAACCTCAACTCTGGAGCAGTACAAGCTGCACCTTGGGTCAGTTTTGGCTGGGGAGTATCTCTGTAAATGTCCCAGGCATCAGCGGTGAATCATGAACATTTTATCACCCTATAAATAGACCTAGAAACAACACCATGGACAACACAGTGTGTTCCAGCTTCATCTCCCCAAAATTGTTAAGTGCCAAGCATTACCTAATTTAAATATTTTATGACTGCGCTCAACTTTCTAGTGAGCAATTTTAAAGAACAGAGGTTTAAGGGTGCACAACCATTAGAAAAACAAACCCAACACTGTTTAATGGATGTGTTCAGGTCACTGCAGTGAGACAGTCTTCAAAACAATGTTACACAACAGGCACTACAGGCAGAGGAAGAACAAGCAAAAGTCATCACCTTCTGCACTGTCAGATGCTGATGTGCCAAGACCAGTGTCCCCGCTGTCTGATGTTCCGGGCCGGCGGCCAAAACGGCTTTGGAACTTCTCTGACACAGCTGGCGTCTGCCACTCCATGTCAGCAAACCGGGCTAATGCACATTTGTGAAAAGGGACAACGACAGCAGAGCAGAACATCAACACATGTGGAAATGATGCAGGGCTTATGCATGGTGACAGCAGCGTGTCAACTTACCCGCTGGTTTGGATTCAATATATCTCTGCGAGGTGGTCATTCCATAAAAGACCAGTTACCTGTGGAGACAAGGAATTAGCATTATTGTATGGTACGGGACACTGAACGGGTGATCAAACTCATGGAATAGCTTTAAATTGGAACATGTGTAAATTTGTTTACTTTGCCTCACTTAAACAAACAGCTGAACAACTAATGATCTATTTTAAACTATAATTTGACAGAGGCTGGCAGACTTTTGTGCCCACCGTAGAAAGCCTGTCTGCACATAGTAATTATGAACTGGACGGTCACGGGCTAGGACACAGCAGCTGTTAGCTACTGACTGATCTGCTCGCCTATCAAATTCATCTGCCCATCAACAACCACCACACACACACACTTTTCTGGGTAGCAACAAAAATAACAACACGAGCACATGTCTTCTCGTTACATAATGTCTTACACAAACATCTCTATCCCTACGGGAACCCTATAGGAACTTCCAAATCAATGGTGAGAAAAGAATCTAATGATGGTGGGCACCAAAAGGCTAAGACACCCCCCACTGTTGTTCAAACTAATCCTTTTCTGTAGCTAATTCTTAAAGGAAACTACTGATGCCAGGGAACGCTTTAAGCTAAACACGAGTACACGCTTAACTGAATGTACTAAAAGTATTTTTGTTAGTCGGCCGAATGAGCCAATCACTGCTATCCCAATCTACCTATTTTGTTAAAAAGAAAAACACACACACAAACAACTCGTTTAAGATTTGAGCAGCGATGCCCTACACCGTTAAGCATTTTAGCTAATCCACGACAAATCCGTTTCCGCCGAACAAGCTAGCTAACGGCTAACACCGCTACGGTTTGCTTAGACTCCTGAGTTCACATCCACGATACATATCTGACTTCAGCCTACCGTGCACATTATCGTAGATAAGCCGGTTCTCCACGCTGAAAGAACGGCTACTTTACCTTCGGTTTCAGATAAGGACTGAATACAGTGATAAATCTCGGTCTCGGGCTCTGAATCTGAACCCTTCGCTGCTGCTGCTGCTGCTGTTGTTCCGCTAGCCAACTGATCTCCTCTGATGGCAGACAACCCCGCAAAGACACGGTGGAAGCTTGTTTAATATTACAGCGCCGCCCGCTAAATTCGGAGAGTGGGTGCTGCTTCACAAACCGGTGCGGAGTTTTCTGCATACACCTTGTTACACCTCCACTGATGGTACACACCGACTTCAAAACTATGGGTGCTGGTGTAATATCGTGAAATATTACCCTCAGAGCCAGATTAATTCACAGAATTTTTATCTGTCATGTGACCAAAAAACCACTACAGCAACACACAACGAACGCATCCAACCAAGTTGCACAGAGAAGGCAAGAATAACCTAGAAGAAGACTTTCGCAAGGGTTAAAATGTGTTGAAGCCATATTTAAAATACCTTAAATTGGACTACAAAATGTTGATTGGCACTGATGTGAACACTGTAAACTTAAACACAAGAGGTCAATGTCAATGAATTGTCAAGGAATTTTATTTATAGAGCACATTTTAGTACACGTAAACTCAATGTTCTTCCTATAAAAGATAGACATCAAAATTACACGGATCTGTACGTAGGGCAATAAAAACAACAAAAGAAAACGTTACAAAAACATTAAATTCAAGCGAACACGCACACACAAACACATACAGTGTAAGTCTATGAAAGTAAAAAGGGTTTTGAGTCTGCTTTTGAATGTAAACACACTTATAATTGACCTCAGGTCAGCGGACAAATCGTTCCAAAGAAGCAGGACCACAGTTTCTGAAAGCACACTTTGCTGTGTGGTTAGAAGTAGTTAAAAGATCTGCGCCTGATGACATGAGAGGTCTCACTGGGTTAAATAGAAGGAAGTTAAAGATAATTCAGTGTGGAACTGAGAGCCAATTAAGTTATTTCAATAGATGTTCAAGTTTCCATGTGCGGTTAAGGACTCTGGTAGTGGCTCAATCCAATGATCCTTTGGATAATCTGGTTAACAGAGTGTTAATGATTAACCTGCTTGACATGAATGCACAGAGCAATCTGTCAGAGTCAGTTTGATATAAAAATGTTCTTATGTTTTATTTTATTTATTTATTTAATTTTTCAGTAGTTGAAAGCAGTTCTGGTGACCTTATTGATATTATTATTGTTATTATTTCTTTTTTATATACACTACTGTGCAAAGGTTTTAGGCAAATTGTGAAAATTGCTGTAAACAAAAAATGCTTTCAGAAATATAAATGATTATTTATTGGCCCCAAATGTATTCTGCAGCAAGACAATGACCCCAAACATACAACCAAAGTCATTAAGAACTATCTTCAGTGTGAAGAAGAGCAAGAAGTACTGGAAGTGATGGTATAGCCCCAACAGAGCCCTGATCTCAACATCATCAAATGTGTCTGGGATTACATTAAGAGACAGAAGGAAAATAAATGATTAACGCTTCCATTTTTGAAAGCATTCTTTGTTTCCAGCATTTTTCCTCACCTGGCTAAAACAATTGCACAGTACTATAGATACAAAAGTAAGAATAATATACTATACCACATACTGCTAGCACATGAAATTGTCAGCTGACAATCGTGCCAAAACTCTGATTTCTCAAGTGTCAAATTTCAAAAAGAAAATCCTAATTTGCTGCACATGTTACCCTATGATGGCAGATGTTGAGTATTACAAATGTCAGTTTCTCAACTTCCTGCAATAAAGCAACAAACAAACTCAGCATATGTCACACTTTCACTTCCATTTTTTGAGCCAAGTTTGGTAAGAACTGAAAAAAGAACCATAGTATTGTAGAGTAGAGCAGAATCGAGTATTACTGACCCCTGACAAAGCACAAGTAATCATTACAAACTTTAAAGACACTATTATTACAGTAGATGACTTTTATGTTCTTTTAGAGTTTCGAAAGTTTCTGAAGAACTCTAATATCTGAATATTAAACTTACTACTTTGTTGCATCTTTATTTAAGGGTTGTAAAAACACATGCAATGAGATTCAGGTTTAACAATCTTACTGTTAAAGAAAAACTAAAAGTTGAAACTATTATCTTTTTTTAAAAGTAGTTCAGAAAAGACAGACCTAAAAATAAAATAAAAGCCAAAATAATTATGTTTTATGTATAAATATATATATATATATATGTGTGTATATATATATATGTATATATATGTATATGTTCGAATATATATATATATATATATATATCATAATAATCTGACAATACTATAATATTATATATAATATAAATTGAGAGAGTTTGTATTGTTTTGTATTTCAATACCATAATTCAAAAAGTCAGATACTTTATCACTCAGTGGGTTGTAAATATCACAGGTTGTTTTAATTGAACTCAGACTGTTCCACTCATAAACACATAGGTCTGGTTGGTCACTTACAAACACTGCCCGCCCTCTTAATTTGACTGCTTTTTTACATAAGGAAACTCTCCTTCCTCATTCACTGTGTGAAGTACATAAAATTACTCTTATTGTTTTCACTCATTCATTTACAAAATCTTCTTTTTTGATGCTTCCCTTTAAGGGTCGTCACAGCAGACCATCTGGCTCCATCTCACCCTACCCCCAGCATCCTCCTCTGTTAGCCTGACCTTCTGCGTGACCTCCTTCACTACATCTATAACCTCCTCTGGGGATTTTCTATTTTCCTCCTTCCTAGCAGATTTCAGCATCCCACTATCCCTCTTCTGCTAACCATCTGAGCCTTGCCTCTCTAACTTTGCCTCCAAATTGCTCATCCCGAGCTGTTCCACTGATATACGTGTTTTTTAACCCTGCCCATCCTGGTCTCTCCCAATGAAAACGTTAACATCCTTAACTCTGCCACCTCCAGCGCCACCTTCTGTCTTTTTGTTTGTGTCACCATCTCCAAATCACACATCACAGCATCATAGCAGGTCTCACTACCTCGTGTACACCATCCCTATTTGCAAAGTCACGATCCTTACTTACACATGATTCACCTGCACAACGCTATTCACAAATTCTTCCTTCAAGATTACCATCAAATTACACAATAATACTATGTATTGCTTAAACATTTGGCAAATATATGTTACATTCTTTGTTGTAGTGCTCCTTTATTAAACGTTACTTGAAAATGCTTTTATTCTGGAATGCTTTTATTGTGATGTCCAAACAGACCGGAAGAGTTTGGTGTGTTTTCAGCTGGCGGAACCAAGTTACGTGCTTATGTGCAGTGGAGGAGGGTTGTGTTCAGGTCTGCGAAGGTATTAGCGAGTATCCTGTCAACAAAGTCACACGGAGTGCAATTTGTGACTTTTACTAAATGGACATTTCTTGACAGAGGCTTCCTTAGCTCGAGGGAAACGGTGAGTTTTGTTTAACAGTTGTAAATTATCACCAAAGCGCTGCAAATGTTAACGTTATATGAAGTGGATGTTTTGTTTAGCTAGCAAGGTAACGCAAGTACGCTAACGCCAGCTTCTTGGTGAACGACAGGTCTCTCAAAGGCCCTGTGCACGGATCGTTAACCATTCTCGTAGGCTAATGGGGCTTTAGATTTTAAATAATTTTTAGTTTTTTGCAAAACTGTCAGTTGTTGTATTCCCAGAGCAACGTTGCTAACATTAGCCTGGTTAGCTAATGAAGTCGCTTTGTAGGTAACGGGAGCAAATACTATCTGTAGACCAGCTAGCGGTATGTTTTGTGCCTATGTCAGATGAGCAACAAAAAAAATCTCTGAATAAAT